GATTTGAAGGCCAAACATATACCTCACAACGTGAAGATCTATAGGACCAGAAGGGTCGACAAAAATAGCCATATTCATATAATGGCATCTCGCCTTGGGGGAGTTGGAACCGTAGCTTCTGAATAGTTGATAAATTTATCAACGCTGAATTCAAGAAAGGTAGGTTACATATCATGCCAGTACTGAAGCACTGACCACTTAAAGGATTATACTCTCGGGAATAGACAGTCCAAGCAGCGACAATATTGCACCAGTATAAGTTTAAATAATACTTTATAGAGGTCATCAAATGTGATATTGAAATCATTGTCATAACTTTTAAAGTGTAAACTTTAAGGACATATATAAACTAATGATAACATAACTCATTTCTTAACCGTGAAGTCATTTTAGCTTCTAGAGAGCACATCCAAAATGTCATTTAATTTTACTGTTAAACGAAGTACATACCATACATCAAAATTTGAGACAGAATCATATAAAATACTTCCAGCAAAACAAGAATTTCATTTTTGCATCATAAGGAAATCAATAACGTCATCTTATTTGCTAATCGACGAAGCATACCAATGAACCAATGCGATTATAGAATGAAGGTTATTGGTTTTAACACAATTTTGAAAATCTTCTATTCACCATTATGTAACCTTTATATGTACTTTGAAATACTGGTAGTTCGAAATTAAAAAAAAATTCTAATTGAATACAATTACTTTGCATTTAATGGAAAGGACATTTTACAAAGAACTGCAACATGACATGAGGACGTTCAAATAGCAGAAAAAGTTTAGAGAAGTGGAAAGAAAAGAATGGTGTTAAACGAAAGATTCTTAGAATTCAGGAATTATAGTGAAAATACATATAAAAAAAATAAGGTCACAACATGATAGAGTTTAAAGTGATTTCAATAAAAAGTGTTTAGCAAATTCTATTACCTCTTTTTGAAACGGACTTAAATGTACAACATTCCTTATGCATCATATACTATTCGCCAATGCACAAAATACTATTCGCTCATACACTATATACCACTGCACAATACAATATTCATGCTTTATTGCCTTAGGACTGCACCATAATTGAAATTATTTCTTGTTGACACCTTCAATTTATTTCTAGCTATAATCAAAGGTATAAACCAGAGCTGTCTGTATTGTGAATTACTCTATTTCAAGTTCAAGAGGATTATATGCAAATAATGCTGTCAATAATCTTTAGATAATTTGGTGGAAGGACAACAATTTCACAAGAAAAGTAATCTTAAGGAATAACACTAAGCTCTTCTATTTGTGTTGAGGAACTCTCCACATAAAAATACAGTGTACAGGCAGATCCACTTCTTCAGTTTCGTTTGTAATAATAAATATAATTCTAAGGTTAGTAAATCTTACATCTGTCTCATAAGAATACATTTAATATTGAATATCACTCGTTTGAGATGCAAATAATACTGAAAATGAAATTAACATCCCTAGAGGATGTACATAACACAAATAATAAAAATGTAAATTTATAATCGTAAATGTTGACACAATTGATCAATCCAATAACATGAATAATGTACAATTAATGTTTCCTCAGTAATGCTGGAGGTCGAAATATTTGAAAAAAATCAAATTCTTATACAAATTAAAAGATACAACCGTGAAGGAGTACAGAGATTTAACATCTATCATACAGTTTGTTTGAGGCTCACTATAAACGAGATTTAAGCAGAGAATCCAAACAAATACTTGTAATTTTGCGTGTATAATGGCGTTTTTTACAACCTTGCTCACTAACATTTGACAAATAAGTATTTTTCAATAAAATCACTCCAGACGGGATATCTTTTTATGTACGCTTTGTACTCTTCTTTGCACATTTTCAGGGGATTTCTGCAATATGGTTGTTTAAGAAAGTAAATGTGTTTACATACCTTTAATCAATTTGTTTCCTTTTTGGCGCGAAAATATACTAAATAAGATTGCTTCTTAACTAAAGTAAAAACAAATTTCAAGCTACGCATTATCAACTGCAGTTTGTATGGCTATTTACATTCCCTTTTGAAAAATTTACCAATAATACATGCTCGAATTGAGTTTAATGAATTTTAAAAAGGACGAAAATAGTAATCCTATTTCTTCAATCTGTTTTTGCATCTTCGCTTTTCACGTTGGAAAATGCTTACTCTACTTTACTATCTACTATTAAGAAACGATGACAGCTTTTATTTACCAGTTTTACCAAGTAAAATTAAATAAAACATATCATGATATTAACGTTTAATCCCTTCATTATTTTCTGGGACTAAGAATGATATGGATTATGTATTTTCACAAATATACTAGTCAACAAAAGAAACGATACAAGGCAATGTATTTTCAATATATAATAAAATTGAATACACTGTACCAAGATAAATAATTGCCTATTTGGTCTAATATTTACAGAGTGTTATTTTCTTATCAAAACCATTTATTTAAGGCAAATACGCGAATTTTCAGTTGTTGCAATTTTAGTTATTTCAAAAATCGTATTTTCACCCAAAATAAAAAAAATCGATATTCGAACTTTAAACTTTAAACTTTAACATGGTCTGCTTAAAATTTTGAATGCCTTTGCAGATATTTGAATACTTAATTCCCATCTTCGAAATAGAGCGCCGACTTTTGTCATCATTTTCCGCAAAATAAATTTGACCCCTATGTTCAATAACACGGTATTTTCTCACTTTCCAATTTGGGCAGATTATTTTAATCATATGCATTTGCTTTACAAATGAATGATTTTCATTGGATAATTTAACAGGTTTTCCTATTTTATTCTATGATAAATTGGACTTCAAACTTGTGTATCGTTACTTTTGTTGACTAGTATAGTTCAATTACTACATTAAATAATTAAGTACTAAACAATAATCCAATTCATGATTAAAAACACCTTTTGAATATAAATAACAATTACTCCAATCAAAATCAAACATTATCGTAATGGAAACACATTACATTAGGTGTTATATAAATAGAAGTCACTGATATGATGCCCGATTTTCAGTTTAAACGTTATGTTGTTTCACTGTAATATGGTGTTACATAATTGTAGTTCCACACCAATACTTCAGTTCAGCTTCACAAAGTTTACTGTAAATGCTTCTTTTCAAGTATTTCAAAACATTTCGAAGACATTTCATACCAAAATTTCGAGCAATCAAAAGTAACGCCATGCTTATGAAGGGATTTTTTTTCAATTTTCCGAAAGGCGTTTCCCAGAAACTTATTTGAAAGAAAGGGGCAATGTTCGAACAGGAAACCAATTAATCATTATCATTTTGGTACTCTTTGCCATCCCTAGAATCTGGTTGTTATTCAACATTTTTTCATCTTTTTAAAGAGCAGATTGGAACTGGCATAATACAAAAACAATAATTTATTATTAAGGAATCGTTCTCAAATTAACTTGCTAGTCCTCTAGACAGAGCTTAAGGGCATACGATACAGTTTTGATCCCACGGTGATTTTTTTACGAAAATTTGCATACAGGCTATTTTTCACCTCGTCAATTCAAATACATTTGTTTTTGTATGTAATAAAACATATACCTTCATGTGCTACTTTAAGATAAGAAGTTAGCAATATCCTTTAACTCTACGTTCCGCTATATAGTTGATGTTCTCTCACTAAATAATACAAAATTTGGTGACTATGTTGAACGAATCTATCCCATCGAACTAGAGATAAGGACACTACAGATACAGTTAAGTCTGTCTCATATCTTGACTTACATCTAGAAATTGGCAATGAGGGTCGGTTGAAAACATAACTTTACGACAAAAGAGATGATTTCAGCTTCCCAATTGTGAACTTTCCATTTCTATATAGCAACATTTAAGCAGAGTCTGCATACGGAGTATATATTTCCCAATTGATACGATATTCCCGGGCTTGTGTTTCCTATCATGATTTCCTTGATAGAGGATTGCTGCTCACAAGGAAGCTATTAAGCCAAGAGTTCCAAATGGTGAAGTTGAAATCATCCCTTCGTAAATTTTACGGACGCCATCACGAGTTGGTTGACCGTTATGGAATAACCGTTTCACAGATGATATCGGATATGTTCCTTATGTCGTAACTACAATACCCTTCCCTTTTCACGAATGTGACCTACCGAATTAGACTATTTACCGGATTTGTAATAACATAAGCAACACGACGGGTGCCACATGTGGAGCAGGATCTGCTTACCCTTCCGGAGCACCTGAGATCACCCCCAGTTTTTGGTGGGGTTCGTGTTGCTTAGTCTTTAGTTTTCTATGTTGTGTCATCTGTACTATTATTTGTCTGTTTGTCTTTTTATTTTTGGCCATGGCGTTGTCAGTTTGTTATCGATCTATGAGTTTGACTGTCCCTCTGGTATCTTTCGTTAAGAGAGAAATGAGGTCGAAGTTTTAGGTATTTACTCAAAATTTAGTTTATTTGGACATTTCTATCCTTATATAGACATACCTAACTTATTTGTTTCAAAAGATAAACACAACGGATTTTTGTAAAAACATTTGGAAAATCTTCTTTACATAAGATTGCTCTAAATTTTTATAGCTATTCTTTGGAAATGATTAACTTTTATCAAAGTTCAATAATTGTAGACAAAAAACGGCATTTTTTGCTGTATATTTATCTAATTCAAAAAACATTAATCGGTGACTTTATCATAAAAATTGGCACAAATAAAAAGAGATGTCAATGAACTCGTTTTCAAGATAAATCAGTCTGAATGATAAGAATCAGTCGAAAAATGCATCTTTTCCTGAGATGTCACAGTTTGACATCGCGAAAAATGATATTTTACGGTAGTAACGTCATTATTTCCCCTATAATTGTATCGTATGCCCTTAATTGGCCATTACATGTTGTACTTTTTATCCCATGTATGTAGTGATGCTTTAACAATGTTTAAGATGTATCTGGATTTCAAAACTTGAGGTCTTCATAGTATATTAAGACTAAATGAAAATATATAGAATATGTTTTATTAGTTTTATGAGAATAAAAAGGTACAACGTAAAACAATCAAACAAATTAGTGTGTCATATTATGTAAACAATAAACACGTAAATAGCTCTCTCTCTCTCTCTCTCTCTCTCTCTCTCTCTCTCTCTCTCTCTTACAATTATAAAATATATACAACTGGTATTTGTATCATCAATGCACAACATATTGGGATGCACCTTATACGGTTGAGATGGGTTTTTTAATTCTTTACTGCGATTCTTCCTCCGTGTACAGATATTGTTGTTGATGGTGTTATATCCTATTTGTGTTGTCCTACATTGAAAAAGCAGAACTACTTATTGGTGACAAAGAGACACATTGAAATACTATACAAAACAATGAACAACTTTACAAAAGAAATTTTTAATTTGTTTTGAAACCAAATATACATTAATAATAAATTAAGTATATTTTTTAATCATCGTTTTTCATTATTGTATTGGGTTTATAAAACGTTTGTTTTTGTTGCTCTTCAGTGTTCCTGTTGTTCCTTTGTTTTCCACTTATAGTCGATGTGTTTCCCTCGGTTTTAGTTGTAACCTGGATTTGTTTTCTCTCAATCGATTTATGACTTTTGAACACCGGTTTACTACTGTTGTCTTTATTTGTATAGGTAAGAGATATTGAAAAAGGAAAATTATTCCCAAAAATACCTGGATTAATATCGATACTCCTGTATCCGCTGAAATATAATTGAGAATGGAAACGGGAATGTGTCGAAGAGATAAAAACCCGACCAAAATGCAAAAAAAAAAAACAGCATAAGGCCACCAATGGGTCTTCATCGCGGCAAAAAAAAAAATCCGCACCAGGAGGTGGCCTTCAGCTGGCACCTTAACAATAATGTATTCTAGTTCAGCAAAATGGACGCCACACTAAACTCCGAAACATATACATGAACGAAATATAAAAAAACATACAAGGCTAACAAGAGCTAGAAGTTCCTAGCTTGGGACAAGCGCAAAATGCTGCGGGGTTAAACATGTTTTGTTAGATCTCAACCCTCCCCTAAACCTCTAGCCAATGTGTAGCGCATTGATCTTCCTGTCATCCGAATTTTGTAATGTTTAACATGTTTAATGTCCATTCTCCCCCTTCCCATGTAGGCACACGAGCAAATATTATTATATTTTGAAATTAAACATAGTCACTTAAACTTATTGGTAATTTAGAATTCGATTCTACAATATCATGAATATTGCTGATTAACTCTACTAAAATATCATATACAAATAATGATATCATTAAAACGGTAGAAAGGTTAATGCTTTAATGCGTCAGTTGCGCGTTTTGACAAATAATGTCTCCATTGCATGCGACTGTCATACAAGTGAGAGGTCTAGCTAGATATAAAACCAGGTTTAATCCACTATTTTCTACATAAGGAAAGGCCTGTACCAAGTCAGAAATATGACAGCTGTTTTCCACATGTTCCATTCGTTTGATGTGTTTGAGCTTTTGATTTTACTATTTGATAAAGGACTTTCCGTCTTAAATTTTCCTTGGAGTTCGGTATTTTTTTTATTTTACTTTTTTTCAGTGAAACTTGATTCCAAAATATTTGGAAATCCAAAAACTTATTTGGTAAACGTTGATGAACAGAATTAACAGAAAAGGAACTAAAGAACAGACTAGTTATGCATGATTGTGATCGTTCTTTTATTTCAAGCGATGTCCTTAAATCTTTCAAACAATATCCAAATTGTTATGCCAGAACGGAAATACTTACTTCTGGTCAGCCATGGCTTGGTGATAAACTCGGGAAAAAGAAGAAATGATACTTATAGCAATGTTACCATTAGGGTATTTTTCATCAATTCTAAAATAAAACTTTTGATCAAATGGCAGCACTTGAAAATATCACGTTTTGAGTATAGTAGATTTATTTGTTTTTGAGTCAACATACATACATATAATTATTTCGTGTCTGTTTTAATTGCACGATTCTGTTTTCAAGTTTTGTCATTCCTGATATTCATATACTCACAGTATTAGTAGAATTTGAAGATAGTTTCAAATCCAAACGGCGTGTCTGATAATGATTGTAACCTTGCCTGACCTAAACATAGTATGAAATGAAAATATTTATTTAAAAAGAATTGAATAAAAGCTTGCAAAGTGATATATAATACAAAGTACTACAAGCTAATCTTTAGAAAAAATGATAGTATTGATACATACAAACACTAATGGAAGCTCATTATCATATTTCGAATATCAAGATATAACGTTTGCCCTAGGCCATTTTTCTTATTTGATAAGCATTGCTTTTCGGTATGACTAACAATCCTGTTTTAACCTTTGTACATTCATACATGCATATTCTACAAATTTGTTTTAGTGGTAATAGTAGTGGAACCACGCAAATCCATTTAGAAAAAAAGTAAACAAGTTACAACAACTGAATGAATCACAGGAATTTCAAAAGGATTTGATGCTTTGACAGGGTTAGTGTATCAAGATAAGCATGCATAACCCGAAATGCAAATCCAGACGCATCCAAATTGTCAAAATAAGGAACAGAATTGGTTATTGTATACTTCTGACAAATATTCTATACATATTAGATTTGTTTTATTTGGTACATTTATATAGTTCTTGATTCATTCGATTCGAATGTTGACGTACACAACAATAACCTTGCCTGACCTACGCACAATGTGGAATATATATGTATACAAGAGATAAATGTTATAATGTAAGATTTTCAAAAAAACTAAATTTCAAAAATTGTTATACTTTATTTTATATGTCAATAACAAATCATTATATTTTTGCATTTTTATCTATTTGCTAACAACACTTTTTCTTTGAACAGTTTATTTACATTTTATCTGTCTGAATACATTTGTCGATCCGACTCATATACATGAATCGCTTTATGGATGAACCTCGTAGTAAGACCGTGATACAACATTTGATTTGCACTCTTTAGAGATCAACGGTGTTATGTTAGAAAATTATGTCATAAATTATGTCAATACCGATTTACTGACTACTAAGACTTAAGTGACAATTAAAACTTGTTATATATGTTAATGCAACTTTGATGGAATTCTATGGTACCTTGTTTATGAACATATATACTTTTGTTTTTTCACGTCACTTCGTAATATACCAATAGGAATAGTTGGTAGGTAAATGATGCTTTAATAAAGCAAATCGATCATACCAGAGGATGTAATGATATAACTAAGCATGTTTTGATTGCGGTCATACTACTATTTGTATATGTTAAACTTTGTAATTTATTCATTTTCAATTATAATTTTTATTCACCGTTAAGAATAACACTCACCTCCTTATTAAAGAAACAGTGCAACAAACAAATAAAGAAACCCTGTTTAAGAAAAAAAAAGATTTTAATTGTTACTCCTATTATTTATCAGAAAGAAAGAATTATTTCAATTCTAATGTGTTTAAGATAGGACAATCAACGATGACTGACGGTCATACAAAATCGACTTTTAGCACAGAGTTGTTGTGTTTTAGCATGTCACATCTATCAATATTGGCAAAAATAGTTTATAGATGATCAAATCTCAAAATCGATTAATGTGATACTAACCAAAGTAACACCCAAAAATTGATGGGATAGCATGAACTTCAATAGGAACTAGACAAATGAGCGACCATAAGATAAGAGTCGCCTGCTATACATGTATCTCCTGACATGTGAATCAACACGCAGTCGAAATGTCACAACCAGGAATAGATTTTGAGAAACCAGAAACGTTATCGGTTGATTACACATTAGACTATTCTGGTATCTCAAAATCTAACACTACGAAAACATGTCGCTAGTGAATTTAGGCAGTTATATCGTATCGTACAACCAATTTGTTGTAATAACTGTTAAACTTATGTAGTGACGATTTCAGCCATTCTTCCTCATTGTTGGAGCATTGTTTTTGTTAACGAAGTCATTAAAGCATGAACATGCACTAGCGTAACGTATCAGTTGAGAGGTCTGTCAAATTTCTTTTCTGTTAGAATTGACATAATATAAATTAACATAAAAATAAAACGCACTTGTTCAAAGAAACACTTGTAGAAATATAAAAATACCTGGAGGGAGTTGAAAATAGCAAATAGGTATTGGAACATGACCAGATCATCGTTTACCGAAAATGCACCAAGTACCCATGTTACTCCAAACAATGGTAAAATGATGCAGATACTTTTCAAACCAATCCTAGAGCAGACAATAAATTCATTACAGAAAAGTGTTTTTATTGTAAATATACAAATATATATTGTTTATGTTTGAATTACCAATACATAGCTATAATGCGTTTTAATGTTTGTTTTCCTTTGTAACACGAACAGTGTTTAAAGTGAAAATAAAGCACGAATTGACATTAAGTTCTTTCTATTTCTGTCTATCTATAAAAGAAGTGTACAAAATGTGCAAAATCATACTATGCGTTTTACGAAGAGATTCTCCACTTATAAACTGATGAAGATTGCATATTTCCCTGATAAACTGTCTTCCTTCTTTTAAACAATTTAATTGTATTTTAGAAAAATATCGTTACACGGACATACTATTGAAGTACAATTAACAGAACGAACGAACTGACGAATTCATATAACAAGCAGCACCTACATCCAGTCACAAAAAAACTGGAATATAATACGAGAGAAAAATGTGATTCCAAACATTGTCAATAAGTCAATATATATGATATAGAGGAATCTATCTAGTTATTTATACGAGAGTAATGAGCTCGTATCATTGTGTCACGAAGTTACGTATAAATAGCATAAATGGAAAATCTCAAATGGAACCTCTGTTAACACAAAAATACTTAACTGTTTATTACTGTTTATATCATATTTGCACTTACAAAAGTTTATACAAAAAGCACTATAAGAATACAATGTGTTGTGAAAGCATAAAAATTCGTTACTCAGTAATATAGAACTATGGTAAGATGTGAAAACAAACCAAAACTATTGGATTGTTTGTTGTAAATTTTTTAAAGTGAATACTTGCAATAGAAACTGCATAATTATATACTTAATCTTACAGAAACGCATTTTTACAACATACAATATTCATGATGAAATCAATCTTTCAATGCAGCAGAATTTCGATTATATATTTTTCAAGCCATGTTTTTTGGTCTACAATTCAAACCACGAAGACTTAAGGTGGTTTGGGTAAATTACTATAACATGGTGATTATTGGATAGCTATTTATTGTCAACAATTATCAGTGTTTATCATTAGTATGCGGACTGAGATGATGTTTTATTCGTTCCCAGTTTTGAAGAACAACATTTATTAATTCGTCTGTCAGGTGGAACTGGTAACATGTGTTATGCGCAATCTTATTTTTTACCTGAGGTTCGCGTGTTCAACCTTTAGTTTCATCTCCAAATTTTGTTTTTGATTTAAGTATTCAATTACAAGTTAAAGGGCGATGTTGTTTGTCCATTTCCATTTGTTCGTGTCTCAAGATTTTTTAGAAATCCTTTGTAATTATTTTATCTCTTTATTTGAAAGTGTAAAAAAGAAACTTTGTCTATTTATTCTGTTTTTCTTGTGGAAAATTGTTTTTCAATCATCTTCCTGTCAATATTCCAATAAGAAATTGTTTTCGGCACGTTTGCACACTGAAACAAAAATGAAAACAACACGTTATAACTTTCATGCGTCCAAAGCGCTTTTCTGGATTTACCTTCATCAGGAAAGCCGAATATTTGAAAGTCAAGAATGAATAAAACCGAAACAGTTGAAGAGCTATATAACTAAGAAAGACTTTAAAAATAGCTAAATCCATCTAAGGCCAACTTTGCCTGAGGGAGTTGAAACCTTAGTTTCTTTATAATTCCAAATTTTTTAAACGGACAATTTTTGAAAAGTTTGTTATAAATCATGTCAGTACCAAAGTACTGACTACTGAGCCGATGATACCCTCTGGGACTGATAGTCCAGTAGCAGAGGTATCGACCAAGTGATGTAAAAAATGAAAACATCACGTTATAAATTTCATGCGTCCGAAGCGCTTTTCTGGATTTACCTTCATCAAGAACGCCCAAAGCCGAATATTTGAAAGTCAAGGATGGATAAAACCGAAACAGTTGAAGAGCTATATAACTAAAAAAGACCTTAAAAATAGCCAAATCCATCTAAGGCCAACTTTGTCTGAGGGAGTTGAAACCTTAGTTTCTTTATAATTTCAAAATTTTTAAACGGACTTATATTGTCTGATGATTTGTTGTGATTGTGCATGGTTTATTTAAATTTTTTTTTATTTTAAGCGAACTTATCATACGTTATATCAAAAAAGGTAAATTATAAAAGAAAAAAGGAAAAGTAAATATTATAAACTTACCAAATTTTTTCTCTTAGTTCTTTCCCAGCTATTCCTCTACTGGTCATTATTTTATATACCATTATGATAAATATAACAAAGTTAATCTGCAATGTACAATAGTTCGAAAATTACAGATAACAAAGCTTCTTTTAACTTCCAAGGTACACAAGTCTAAATCGTATTTTGGGGTCACGTGTTGCTGAAATATTCTTATCTTTATTTATTTTCTACATATAGAAGTTAACAATAAGGGTCGATTGAGAACAAAACTCGACTACAAAAGGGATGGTTTTAGCTTTCCAATAGTGACATTTTCATTTTCATGTAGCAACATCCAACCAGCGTCTGCGTGTGGAGTATTGATCTCCCATTTGAAACGGTATTCCAGAGCTTGCGTCTCCTTTCATAACTTCCTTGATAGAGAGTTGCTGCTAACAAGGAAGCTATTGAACCAAAAATTCAAAGTGCTAATGTTGCAGTCATTTCTTCGAAATTTTAACGGATACCACAACGAGTTGGTTGACCGTAATGGAATATCTGTGTCACAGATGATGAAGTATATGTTCCATTGTCGTAACCACACTACCGTCTTCTTCTTTCCTCGACTCTTTGATTCATCGCCAAATGGAACTAGCCAAGACGGGTGTCACAAGTGGACCCTTGGATATTCTAACCCTTCAGGAGCATTTTATGGAGGTTCGTGTTGGCTAGTGTTTGTTTTCTATGTAGTGTTTTGTGAATTTATTTATTTATTTGTGGTCTCGTTTTTCACCGTGGCGTTGCGAGTTTCTCTCGACTATAACCTTTCTATAATTCCAATACGTACCAAAATGACAAGCAATGCCGGTCCTATAAACGCCCAGATAAGGTTTGATTCAAGGGTCAACCAACAACTGAATTAATGAAAGAAAAATCTTTGAGTCACATATTCGAATCATGCAGACAACTTATAAGCTTAGTATATTAGCTTGAATTGTAAGTACTAGTGACTTTTATGCAGAAGATGATTAACATATGAATCCATATATTTTCAAGATTACTTTTTCAATCATTGATATTACAAATTTAGTATTCTTACAAATTTGCTCTTTTAATTAATTCATGTTTACTCTTGTATGGTTATAACATACAATATATTAATCATACGACAGACGAGACTTTGTTATGAAAAATCATTTTTGATTTGTTTAATTTCTATTAAGAAATATATAAATAAAAAGTGCATGTATTTCCATTCTTTTTATGATATTATCATTACCATAATAATATTTTATTTAAAAAAATAGCAAAAAACAAAAATGTTTGAAAGTTATTAGAAACATACAACTGTTGGTTACCATAGCCTTTAAGTTGTGTGATGCCGGCAGAAATTCCGACGACAATACCAGGTACAACTGAAAATAAAGATTTGTTTTTAAAAGATACAAGTTACTTGGTCCAGGCTTTTCCAAAAAAAGTCCAGTGAATGTTAAAAAAAAATCAAGTTTAAAGACACTAAATCTGTTCCACATGCTATATATATATTTTGCAGGATGATACTCTATTGAATTTAATATCATTGTAGCATATCACTACAACGGCTGTTTTTAATTTTGCTACGACATCTTCAACAAACGCATGTTGAACACAGAAACATGTGAAAAAGGTATGGTGAAAGAACCTTTACCCTTTCAGATTTTTTTTTTATAAAACCATTGTTCTCAATAGTTTTGATTTTGATCGTTTTTATTTTCGTTTGATAATTGTAAGGTACCTTTTTATTCGTTTTCAAACATTTTGGTTTAGAAGCTGTCTGTCCTTTGACTTATTATTTTAGAAATCTGCTTTTATCTCTTTTAACAAAAACATGTTCTGTTCGCAATAATTATTTGTTTCATATAAAAACTAGTTCTCCTCAGCTGTGTTTTAGTTAAATACGAAAACAAGATTTCTTTAATATATATGCATGCTATCAAACCGTACAGATTACTGCCAAATTCTGCAGGGACAAAATATCAAGAATAGTCACCGTTTATTAAAACATGTGGTAACATACTTACTCCAGCAAAGAGGTAATAGCCACCGAACAATAGATCTAGTTGAAAAAACAATGACAACCATTCTCACTATTTGAATTCCCTCAGCTAGCATCAAACAAAAGTCTGTTAAGAACATATAGTGTAAACCAATTGCGATCGCTGTACATACTTCCTTTATATAAGATAAACCAATTACCATTTACTATTATATAATCAATCATTTTTGTTTTTATTTAAAACTGTTGTAATTTACATTTTCAGTCACATTGGCATTATCCATACAAAAATGCATGGTACATATGTTTGGCGTCAGTAAAACATTTATTTCTTTAAATTACTTAAAAGTTTCTTCACGAAGGCTTTTTGAATAAAAATGCCACAAAATTACAAATTTTTGTTTGCATTTTAACCGTTGACAGGCGCAATTTAGTGAATGCATTATTCATTTATTTTTCAGACGGTTAATTTCCATGAGTGTCAATAGTTCTAGTACCGATATGATTATACATAGTACTTTGTATGATAGAGTTATTCAGAAAAAACTGTCTTTTTTGTTTTTTTGTTTTTTTGTTTTTTGTTGTTTTTTTTCTTTTTACTTGTTTGATCCTGTAGGCGTTGATCTACTGCAATCTACTGCTATATGAGTAATATTCAGTCTACAGTGTATTATGCCACAAGAGTACTAGTACAAAATGTACTTCTTAAAAATTCTTATCAGACGAACCGAAATCGTTACCTTATGTTCTTATTGTTCAGTTTTTTTTTTTGGACTGTATTTTTAAATTATGCAATTCGTCTTATAGCTAGTTTTGCGATATTTACATGGTTATGGTTACGAATTTTGAACTATGAATAAATTTTATTATTGTGCTTAGCATTCACATTGATTGCCCGCAGTTTTGGTTATTCTGGTTTAGATCGTTTTGTTCTGGAATATTTCAAGAAATACAAGTAAATCGATGATTTTTTTTTCTCAGGCGTTCCTGCTGATGGTTATGTCAACCCATGTCTTGTGCAACGAAATCGGAATGATATGTTTATGTTGAATATACTAAACTTTGGGACAAGTTGTAGAAACTTTCAATAAGAAATATTTTCAATATAAAATCAAAATAATTACTACATCGTGTACATGTAGATAAATTATAACGAGAATGTTTGTCTTTTTTTTGTCCTCACCTTGATTTCTGTCCGTGTTATACCAGCAAGGAATATGGTATAAGACAGAATTAAAGCCACGCATAAATTCATTAATATTTGTGTTCTCTCACTTTTCACATATCTACAACAAAAAATCAAATAGAAAAGCATTCAGTGGTTATTTTCTTCTTTAAATCACTGAATACAAAATGTTAAATCATTATTCCTATATTTGTTTGAAACTACTTTTGGTTTCAGTCGTGCACTTGAAAATAGAATTTCGTTACATAACTATAACATATTCATTTCCGATTTTTAAATGAAATTACCAAATACAATGTATCCATCTGTAGATATTGTTACAAGTACATTAAACAAAAACCGTTCACTTCTTCGAACTTGACTAAATAGTTCTTAAAAAAATCATCATTTTACACTTTATTACAAACGCGATGACATTTTGTTCCTATAACAATACTTTATTTTTTTTTATTTAGTTTCTTTTGTGCTGTATGGTGTGTACTTTTGTTCTAAACTTGTTTGGCGATATATCAAATAACCCTAAACATGATATTATCACTAGTAAACGAATTTTAGTCTGAAGAGGTCATTTTGATCTGAACAGCTCTTCAAAGACTGCAGAATAAATTATTAGTCATTTCAGTTTGTCAGTCAATTTTGAGACTTATTTACTTTGGCCAAATCAGTACTGCTCAGACCATTCGCTTGCACTCAATTAAGATATGTTCAATATATGTTCAGACTGTTCAAAAGTTGCTATATATCTATACAGATCAACAAAATACTGAATTAGCTGAATAGCTATTGAACAGTACTGAATTGACTGCAATATAGCCATTTTTGTTATTTTCAATTAATGTAATTTTGAGTTATGGTTATCATTATATATTTCTAAACATGCATTGAACCTTTCATTTTGACATCAAAAACTGAGTTATAAGGAAGAACGACTGAAAATGGCATAACATAAGTTTACCGGCCACCATCACAAATTCGTTTACCGATACGATGTGTCGGTGTCTCAACCTACTAGCGACATGTATCGCGATCTTAGATATCGAGATACCAGTTAAGGTATAGTACCTCACCTGTCAAATGCAGTTTAGATAGTTAAAATACGAAGTCAGCAATAAATTTCTCATTCCCAGCGTAATTATTCCCTTACTTACGAATCGCAAAATCAGTTTCAAAACTGTTGCCGAGTATGGCTAATATACGACAATGTTACTTGATAGCTCTTGTTCTAAAAATATAACACGTACATGTTAAATAACTTGTGTGTAATTGCTCCAAAAATAAAGATACTTCAATTGCAAATATGAATAAATATTAGAGAAAGTAAAGATCCACAATAAGCTTTGTGATTCTGGTAAAAATACTCAAGAAGTAACGTATTCAGATTATCAAGATTAAAAATCAAATTTACAAAGAATGTTTTTTTTTCTACTAAGTATAAGGACTGATATTGGATGGATACTTTTAATTCATCTGGTATTATCACATGGACAGTCAGGAGGTGAACATGTAAAGGTTGATTAGAACTGTGCACTTTTTTTCTCTAAATAAACTTCAACTTACCCCCAAAGTACATAATGTATGAGAATTGTCATAACCAGAAACAAAATGGATACTCCACATCCTACGGCTGATATAAGGCTCAATGCAAAGTTGTGAGACAAAGGCTTGAAAAAAGAAAAAAATATCAAATCAGCGGTAAAATATGATTCTGACATCGATGTATATGAGGCCTAATGAATATCAACCCAACGATATCAAACCAAACGATATGAATATGGTAACGTACATTCCTGTCTCTAAAACTGTTCGAAATTATTCGAAACTCTAATATAGAAATACAGAGATTTAGTATGACTGCCAATAACACAATTATCTCCCAAAGTCCCAATGACGTGGACGAATGCAACTATAGGTCACCGAACAATGAACAAAACCGTTTAGCAATATACAACTCCCCCTTGACAAATTGTAAAACAATGAGAAAGAGGAAACCAACTTTCATTTGAACTTTGGTGGATAGTTGTCTCATTGGCAATCATACCACATCTTCTTTTTTATATTTTGACAATTTGGCAACAATTAATGAAAAATAAATACGACAGACAGGCTAATGTTGTTCCAGCCTAAGCATATATTATTTGAGCAGATTAGGTCAACTTTTTGGAATTTTTATTTTTTTTATTACACTTCAACTTTGATTTTGCATTCTTACTGTTTTGGTCAAGCGCCACTGATACGTCTTATGTAGACGAAACGCACATTGGATATATCAAATTAAAAGCCTTGTATCTGTGATGAGTTTTATTTCATCAGTAGATTGGTGTGTAAACAATATGTCAAAGTCTAACAAATGTGAAAAAATTAATCAATTACTATAAAGATTAACACTTAACAATCCAATTATTAGAAACAATACGATATAATGAAAGAAAATACTAACGAGGATCAATAATTTTACTACACATTTATTGCTAACTACAGTTTAAAGAGGATACAATCTTGGCCAACTCATTATTGTGAATGTATCCTTTGGTCGTAGTTGCTTTTGGTTATTTCTGAGGGAACATCATGGAGGCGTAATACCATCATTGTTTTTCCCGTATTAGTCTTTTTAAATTTGCACTATTAAAAAATTGTGCAGAATTTATCTTTGTTTCAAATAAAAAAATTCTTGGCATGAGTAAAGATTATCCTGTCCAGTACTACAGAAAAAATTTCATATAACATTTCATTGCATATAAGATAATAACCATCACTGGAAGTTAACCAATTAAATTTCCAACCCTTTCTTTCCTGTTTACAAGCTTTAGTAACCATGTAACCTCAAGTTTCCAAAATATTTTATAAAAACACCAAAATAAAAAATGAATGGTGCTTTGAAACAACCAAGATATATGTTTATGACTTAGAATTTTTTTACTGCAATGAAATGTAGGATTAATTTCTAACAGCTGTCAAATTCAAGGGAATATTTGTTTCGACCTTTTTTCGTACGCATCCGGATGTGTACTATGATTTCGTGGTATTACACCTGGAACGCACAACTTTTCGATGTGAAACATATTACAAAGTGGTTACTATTATGACGCCAGATAGTGCATTCGAATAAATATTTTCAGTAAGCATTATGATATGAAGTTTGTTGATTACAAAGGATAGAAATAAATGATTGTTAAAAATCTAAATTGACACTTCCCAGTGGATACGAGATTAAATGATTGTTTTTGTTACTAAACTGTTGTAAAAACAACAGTCAAGTTATCAATGTTACATGTCCAGTAGTACAAAGTGAAAAAATAAAGCAAACTAACAATCCTTTTAGGAATAAATTCCGTTTCTTTAGTATTGAACTGTACAAGTGTGTTACTTTATTTGTATCAATCGTAATTTCATATAAATGTAAGTTCGTCATTTTTAAAATGCTACATGGTCAAGGTAAGGCTTTCATACTACTCCTTATAAAATGTCTTCTATTTTTATAATATATGTGAAGTTACAATGGGAGATCACCTGATGTCATACATCCCCTTTTTATATGAAACAGAGATAATTGACTGTCTTATTTCCCGTTTAATTCATGAAAACGTATTTCGGCAAAGCATTTATTTTTTACTGAGTATCTGAGACTTTATTTAGATGCCAACTCTGCAATATGTTAAGTAATATGACACTTTAGAAGATATTATTAAAAAATTGTACTTGTTTATGTCATTGAAATATTTCTATCTATCTGTTCAAATGACTTCAGATTAAATGTATATACAAATAATAAAATGCACTTTCATAGTAAACATGAAGTAGAATTCGATGCTTATAGGATTGTACGACATAAACTGTGTCCTTCTAACATTGATGACCTGATTGTGGTTCTTCTACAGCAAGTAAGTAAAACATTTTACCAGTCGAACGGTTTGATTACGCGAATCAAATTGCAATTGAATATTAATTTTTTAATGAACTGCAAAAAGTGGAGGTGGAGAGAAACATTTAAAAGTAAATCACAAAGTCACAAAGACATAACTGTTGACAAAATGTACATTAAGCTGAACTTCTTTACCGATATTTTTTAAAATACATTTTTGGATAAGATATTTGAAAAAAAACATTAAATTAAGCAATTTAAGAATCTGTATTTGGAATAATAATTATAAAAATAAGTAGATATGATATGATTGCCAATGAGACAACTCTCCACAAGAGACCAAATGACACAGAAATTAACAACTATAGGTCACCGTACGGCCTTCAATAATGAACAAAGCCCATACCGCATAGTCAGCTATAAAAGGCCCCATAATGACAAATGTAAAACAATTCAAACGAGAAAACTAACGGTCTAATTTATGTAAAAAAATTAGTAACGAAAAACAAATATGTTACACAGCAAAAAATGACAACCACTGAATCACAGTCTCCTGACTTGGGACAGGCACTTACAGAATGTGGTGGGGTTCAACTCGTTTGAAGGCGCCAACCCTCCCCTAACCCGTGACAGTGGTGTAACAGTTCAACATGAGAACCAACTATAAAAATCATTTGAAAAAGGCTTAACTCATCAGATGGATGTCTACATCCTTACTAATATGAGAATACTAACTTCATTTATCGTACTATAAATTGTAAATATGTATTTATGATTTCTTTCTATACACTGAAATAAGTTATGAAGACTAAATTAATCAACATACTGTTCTTCCTGGGCTCATGAGTATTGCGAAATTTGTGGTGTGATTATATTCACATATCGTATAAGAATCTGTTGACTCTACAATTCGTGAACCAAAGTTCGACCATGCTCCGTTTACAGTATTCCTAAAAAATATTTGATTTTATACATAACAATGCTGTATCTTTTAATTTCCTCCGCAGGCTATAACCTCACTTTAATACATTTTACAAACGTTTAATTGTGAAACTTATATTTTCAGTGTGTACATGGAACGTCGAAATGTTTTACTTGAAAGATGATATGTATCTTATATGGAAGACTTGAATTTCATGAGATTCTCATAGAGTTTTACATGATTCTTTTGAATAAGAGAAGGATTAGAGAATCTAAATTAAAAAACAACAGCAACACAATAAAAAGTTAAAAGACTTACATCCAAAAGGCAGTTCAAAGTCTTATTTTGAAAGTCTAAAACCTTAAATCAAAAAAAAAAAAACATATATAATGATACTCTGCTACTTTTTGAGGACACGAACATATTAAACTTTATACTTACGAAACATCGAAATCCCAAAATCCACAAAAAGGTCTGGAGTAATTTCCCTTGCAAAATAAAGTATCAAAATGAACCATGGTTCTTGATCATAATCTCAGCAATTTAATTTGTATATGTTACAATTCAATCATCCACTGATTCTTTGTTCTATTATTGCAATTGAATAACAGAATAAAAGCAATGATAAAGGCATATTTCATCTTTTCTTGTATTCCTTGGTATGTTGCCGGAAATTTTATATGGATGACTATGCATCCGTAGAAGACTGATAATGTCAATTACGAAAATCATGAAAGTTTAAATAAACAACAGTCAATTATCAGACAAAAATTTGTCTATTACACAAAGAAGCGCCGAACTTTTATGAGATCAAAAGCACCGTACAACGTTTAGTCTTTCTTCGGGTTGTGTGTTACTTTTTTTTTCTGTTTCATTACTCCCGTGAAAAAGTGAAATGATTATGCACTCAAAAAAACGTGTACAAATAGCTTCTTTGAGTAACTTTAGTCGAAAAATTTATAATTATTCGTCTTACTTTACTACTTAAAGACTAATATTAAAATGACTGAGGGAAATAACTATTGTATAGAAGGCGAAAAATCCTGTCAACAAGTACCTGTGGTGTAGTTCACACAATTTACTCAGTCACGTTAAAGTGAATTTTAGGTGTTTGTGTTCAGCTTTAGTTTTGAACTGTTTTGATCCTAGCATCACTGATGTGTTCTTGTAGACGAAACACGCATGTAGCGTACCAAATGATAAGCCTGATATATTTGACGAGTTAGACTTTTAATATCCGTGAAATTTAAGCTCATGGATTATGATAAGAAATTTAAGAACATGAATTTTGATAATTGTTTTCATAATCATAAGTTTTAAATAGCCGCAATAGACATGCTGAAAGGACCAATTGTAACACGTTATAGGTGATTTGTAGTTCGGCACGAAAAAAGAAACATTTAGCAGGTACGCATATTTCTTCAGAGTTACCTCACATGTTATTCATTTTTAAAATATTTAATGTTGACCTTAGGGAGATTTGGCTATTTTGTGTTTCATCTGGATGCTTTTGTCATGTAGCTTCTCAATTTTTCAACCTTTTAAGAATTCCGTTTCTGGTCAAGGTAAACCCCAAAAAGCGAATTGACACACCAAATTCAGAAAGTGTTATTTTCATGAAAATTATCCATTAGCTTGCGTTACGATATATGCCACTTGAAGGTGCACTCAATGATGTTTGTACCAGTGGTAAAGTAACACAATCGATGCGCGTAAGAACACAAGCAAGAACCAAAAATGAATGAAACATTGTTACGCTGTCATAGCTGTTTGCAACTGATAGTGTTTTCATGAACCCTAATAGTTTTAGAAGACATCTTCACAAACAAAGAAAAAACAACAGGAAAAAAAATCACGTTTTGTCAAAATTAACACAACTTACTAATAAATTGTCAAATTTTATAATCAAGGTATGATCTGAAGAAGCTGTTGATTGGATTGTAAAATCAGTTATGATAGATTTTACATCGTAACTTCCATTAAATGACTGCAATTCCCTGTAAATGGAATAATTAAGTTAACAGACTTTGAAATAACGTATTTATCCGGGTGGTGTTATTCTATAAAAATATGTAAGCACCAAGCTACCAGTATTACCAAGAAGTTTTCAAGAAAAAACTTTAAAAATAGTTATTATTACTGGTAACAAGAATATAAAATGAAAAATGCAGGATAAACGTTACTAGGCAGCAACTTATATATTTTTACCCTTTACTATTTAGTCCATTTTTTGAATAATACTTTTGCGTGGCTCGGTATTTATACATCCCGCCATTGTGTTATTGTGCTACGGTAATTGTTTGTATTCTTGTCTTTCATTTTTGCTTATGTACTTTGTCTTCTGAGTGTCAATACGACATTTTGTTTTTCTTTTTTGAAATAGTTATTTGTTTTTATAGTGTTTAAGATTATAACACAATGTTGACTGTTGTACCCAATTTTTGACAATTTTACCTATTATGTCTGTTTGTTTTGCTCATACACTGTTGTCAATATGATGGAATTCTATGCGATTGTCATACAAGTGAGATGTTTAGGTAGCTATAAAATCAGTTTCAATCCACAATTTTCTAAATAAGGAAATGCCTGTACCAAGTCAGGAATATGACAGTTGTTTTCCATTCGTTTGATGTGTTTGAACTTTTGATTTTGCCATTTGAGAAAGGACTTTCCGTTTTAAATTTTCATTGGAGTTCGGTATGTTTGCTGTTTTACTTTTTAAATAATAATTAACTGGATTGATTGATTGATTGATAGATATTTAACGCCAAGTTTGGCACTATCGTGCTATGTAGTGGCGGTTAGAGTTTTATTGGTGGAGGAAGCCGGAGAGCCCGGAAAGAACCGCTGACCTTTGGTAGAAAAACTGACATTCCTAGTCAATTAAGATTGGAGTTGAGCGCACATGCCACGTAAGGGATTCGAACTCTCAACCTCAGTGTTGACAGGCTAGTGATACAGTAGCTCGACTACTAAAACCACCTGGCAACCGAGGCCCTAAAAGAAACTGGATGTTCTCATTCAAACATGAATGACAAACAAGCATCTTAACATCATTCACTTTTATACAGTGAACATTTTTGGTTAGTTTTGATAGAATAAAAGTTGTAATGCAATAAAGATATATGATGACAGATTTACAATCAGAAAATATGACTCACCCATTTAGCATCAAGTACTTTGGAAAGAATCTTGAAATATTTCGATAGAATGTGCTACTATATCCTGTCAAATCTATAAAAAAAGTCCATTGACATTTTATTTTGTTTCATTTCGTCTACTTTACGCATTAGTCAAAAACAGAGAAAATCAAATAAGAATGTCACGACACCGATTTTCAAACTTTTCTTTAATCGCAATTAGTATTGCAATTTATACCACAAATTTGTTTATGGTGTTAATGCATTGGCACTTAGACAATATAAAAATAAGAAGATGTGGTATGATTGCCAATGATACAACTCTCCACAAGAGACCAAATGACACAGAAATTAACAACTATCGGTCACCGTACGACCTTCAACAATGAAAAACCTATGTTTGAATTGAAATGTACAGCAAAGCTCCAACCTATACGTTCACCCCACTGTTTGTTAGCATTTATTTGCCCCTTAAAATTGGAGGAAATGACAAACTAGAGGCTCTAAAGAGCATGTGTCGCTCACCTTGGTCTATGTGCATATTAAACAAAGGACACAGATGGATTCATGACAAAATTGTGTTTTGGTGATGGTGATGTGTTTGTAGATCTTACTTTACTGAACATTCTTGCTGCTTACAATTATCTCTATCTATAATGAACTTGGCTCAGTAGTTACAGTGGAAAATATTTTGTAAAAATTTACAACAATTTACAAAATTTATGAATTTTGTAAAAAATTGCCTATAAAGGGCAATAACTCCTTTAGGGGTCAACTGACAATTTTGGTAATGTTGACTTATTTGTAGATCTTACTTTGCTGTACATTATTGCTGTTTATAGTTTATCTCTATCTTTAATAATATTCAAGATAATAACCAAAAGCTGCAAAATTTTCTTAAAATTACCAATTCAGGGGCAGCAAACCAACAACGTGTTGCCTGATTGGTCTGAAAATTTCAGGGCAGATAGATCTTGACCTTATGAACAATTTTGTTGTTGTCAGATTTGCTCTAAATGCTTGGGTTTCAGAGATATGAGCCAAAAACTGCATTTTACCCTATGTACTATTTTTTAGCCATGTCGGCCATCTTGGTTCGCGGGCGGGATACCCTAATGATGATTGTGGACAAGTTTGGTTAAATAAAAGATTACAAAAATTTACGAAAAATGGTTAAAAATTGACTATAAAGGGCAATAATTCCTTAAGGGGTCAACTGACCATTTCGGTCAAGTTGACTTATTTGTAGATCTTACTTTGCTGAACATTATTGCTGTTTACAGTTTATCTCTATCTATAATAATATTCAATATAATAACCAAAAACAACAAAATGTCCTTTAAATTACCAATTCAGGGGCGGCAACCCAACAACGGGTTGTCAGATTCATCTGAAAATTTCAGGGCAGATAGATCTTGACCTGATAAACAATTAACCCCATGTCAGATTTGCTCTAAATGCTTTGGTTTCAGAGATATAAGCCAAAATCTACATTTTACCCCTATGTTCTATTTTTAGCCATGGCGGCCATCTTGGTTGGTTGGCCGGGTCACCGGACTCATTTTTCAACCTAGATACCCCAATGATGATTGTGGCCAAGTTTGGTCAAATTTGGCCCAGTAGTTTCAGAGGAGAAGATTTTTGTAAAAGTTAACGACGACGGACGACGACGACGACGACGACGACGACGGACGACGGACGACAAGTGATGAGGAAAGTTCACTTGGCCCTTTGGGCCTGGTGAGCTAAAACAGGGATATTCTAATAATACAAACACTATTAAAGTATTAAAGTTGCAAGTGTTTTTGTTCACTTCTTTAAATGAAAACATTCAATTTTTAATCTATAGAATGATGATTTGAAAATCCAAGGCTAACGTGACCTACAATGTTATACTGTTGGTTGTCCCTTTAAAGTCCTTTCGTATTTAACGCACTCTAACATTTTTGTATATTTGGCTTTCCAAATGTTGGTCTCGAGCATTAATAAGGTTATTCAGGAAAACATTATGTCGCGTCGTGTTGTTTTTGGTTGTGTGACATTTTATATCTTTTGCCACTGGTGTTCACAAAAACTGTGGAAAGTTGTTCCATGAAAACCTTTATTTCCTAGCTATAACTGGGTATGTACCGCTTCTGAATTGTCAACCTTGAGGCCCAGTAGCCAGTGTTTTCGTACTGATAATTTTCAAATAATAAATGTACACTTTTGCTTTATTTCTAGCTTATAGATTATGTAGTTGTAATAAGATTAACGTTGCAACACCATAAAACCGCAGTCTGTTTCGGAAATTTTGTTTCAGTCCGTTTTGTTTATAAAGCTCCAAATGTATTCTGTTTAGGCCTTAACGAACTATTGATCTTGATCATGAGAATACTAGTAGCAGAGGAATGTTATTCCACAAATATGTATATAATTATCATAGTTGTATAGGTTTATTTACCGTGATGTTTGCTCTTTTTCAGTTTCATTTCAGTCGCTGAATCTGTTATCCACGAGAATGATGTTTTCAAACGATCAGGCACAGTGATCTCGTCAGAGATAGTCTTTCCTACCTCAATTACTGAAATAATTGGCTTTACTTTAAATCAAATTCCACATATGCACTGAGGTATACGTAGTTTGAGCAAAGCTCACAAAAAGATGTCCCTACCACTCGCAAAGTTTAATCCACCATTTTCTACATAAGGAAATGCCTGTACCAAGTCAGGAATATGAAAGTTGTTTTCCATTCGTTTGATGTGTTTGAGCTTTTGCCATTTGAAAAAGGACTTTTCGATTTGATTTTTCCTTGGAGTTCGGTATTTTTGTTATTTTACTTTTTTCCATAATTTGCCTAGGATATTCCAAAACAACAATTTTGGAAAAATTCAATAGATTCTTATTCATGTTAAGGGAGAGCGGATACAAACATAAACTGCTGTATGCGGATATTTCATGCTAAAGAAAATTTCGATATTCATTCGGATCATTTGAGTGAAAATCTGTCAAGCGGATACAAATGTCGGACGGAAGGACGTAAACACAAACAAAAGGACGAATAGACTGACACTACTATCACAATATACCACCCGCTTCAAACGGTATACCACTACTGATTTGTCGAATATGATAATTGTAAGCAAATCATGTCGACACATGTAACTTTTTGGTAGCGGACTGCAGTGAGTTTCAATACTGGGAAAAACATTTCACTCCTCTTCCGATATTTTAAAAATAATAGCTGCCTATCCGACAAGGAGAAATCAATATAGATTTTCAATTTTTAGGGCCTCGTGATGTTTTTGCTTACACTTTTCAACCAACTATTTGTGATGATTATATGTGGAATGTTGTCTTTCATGCTACAAGATTTACTCTGGTGTCTTGTCATTTCATTTCTTGAAGTGAAGAGTTCATGTCACATCGTTTTGCTGACACAAGTCACAAGATAAAATGATTGTCAAAACCAACTTTGAATGAATAAAAGCATTTGATTAGACATATTAGGTTTTTAAGCTATTATTATTTGCGTTAATAATGATTGTACATCTATAAGAAAGTTAACTATAAGGGAGACAAAACATGAAATTGAAAATTTCGTAAAGTACATGTGTAATTGGCACTTCAAACTGAAATTGTTTTTTTTATTTTTTTGTAAGATATAACTAAATATGAATTTTATTTTATTTTTAGGCTTTCCTAATTGAGTTTTATACAAAAGTACTTATCATTCTCATTGAAACAGGTACCTCACATTTTAAATTCACACGTGAGCACATGAGGTAAAACTGAATACAAACGAACCTATATTTTCCTTTTGAACAATCATTGCGAATTCTCCGTCTATAACCTTATGAAACACTGCATTGTAATCGGTAACTGTTTTTACTACAGAAGGGACACCACTTGAGCCCTGAAGTTAAACATATATCAAATACATATAGTGTTAGAGAACATTCGTCTGACAGGTATTTTCATTGTCTATTACAGGTGTTACTACTCGAGTTGGAATGTATTAACCTCGCCCACACAAAGTATTCTGTGCAGTGTTTTGTGAACTTTTGTTGTTTTGCTTTTACTCACTATGTTGTCTGTATTTTCTTTTTAAACTTATGATTTTTTGCGTTCTTGGTATGTCCTTGCACCAAAAATGATTGAATTTCAAATATTTCAAGTGCATATATTCTATTACGACATTAGAAACACAATTAAGAGTACGATTGTAGAAAACGAATTATCATTTTAATATTATTCAAATATACTTAGGAAAAATGGCATTTTCGATAGGCCTTATTTGGAAATAATAAATCTTATTTCAAGCATATCTCATATTCCTTAGCTGTATTTGGCAAAACCTTTCGGACGTGTTATGTTAGGTCCGTACTGGTTTTCAACTTCGTAATTGTTTTGCCCTTTATAAATCTTTTTGAATCGAGGGTCACTGAATATTCTGATGACGAAATAAGTATCTGACGTACACATTTTTAATCATGGTATCTATGACGAGTTTTTATAGAATGACATCAAATTGACAACACTAGTACATACTTACAGTTGCTATCTACACATTAACTGCTAATAAAAATCCGACATACATGTACAGACGATTTTCATATGATTGCCATTTAATAAAGGATAACATTGGTAACTCTGTTTTTCTTTTTTTTTTCGTTTTACGAAAATGTTTTTATCATAAAAAGAAGGTTACCTCGTCATTTAGTTCTTCCCACAGCTGATGGTTTCGTTCATCTAGTATATTATTGCAGACAGACCCAAAAATCTGAAACACACGACATAAACTTTAAACTGAAAAAAATAATACAAATGATTCGAATTTTAAACATATTCGCAGTGAACAACATAGGTTTTTTGAAGAAGATGTATTTGAATAATGCATTGTATGTAAATGATGGTATTAGATAGCCAATATCTATATACAAAACTTCACGTGAAAACCTTCCTTCTAATTGAAGTTATAGTCTTTTTCTATTCCTTATATCGTTGTTAATTTTTTTTCTAGTTTTTAGTTTCCGAAAAACATTTCACAGTACGAATGAAGAAATGAAATGATGCATTTTTTTACTGTGTCACTTTATTCAATGCAGCACAGCAAAAGGCAAAAATATTTAATGTTTTTAATGAACCAACCGAGTGAATTATTGCTCAAATGCCCAGTTTTATAAAACGAAACCGTCCTTATTACAGCCATCAGGGCTTTGATAAGGGACATAATGGATAAAGCAAGTCATTATGAATTTCCAAAAAATTCAAGATGCTGGCCGCTTTTATGGATCGCTCTACTCAAATATGTAATCATCGATCACAGAAAATTAACATATTTCATGTCATATCTGAATTGTAGTCCTACTGATATGAAAATGTGAAAACTGTTTTAAGTATGAATAAATTATAAAGAAAAATTATTTCATAATGACTGGTTTTATCCATAATGGTCACGTTATAATGCCCTGTTGGCTGTTATAGGCACTGTTTCGATTTGAGTAAATTCAAAATCTTTGCATTTTAACTATAATGCACTTAGGTGGTTAAACAACATTTTGTTTATTTACTTGGTTAATAAATGTAAGTAATGTGTGTTTGCAAAAGCGACATCTTAATATATATTATTACATTTATTTTCCTTCGGTTCCATCACTAGCAAAAGTCACGAATGAGTAGGAGTCATTTCCAAAACATTTACTTTTATTTCTCAGTCTTATTAGGCTATGTGTTTTGAACAGTATATTAATTTTGCTTTACGGAATTGCGAGCATTTTAAAACGGTGCTACATGTATGCAGCATCTCTTTCAAGGGTTCCGTATGTGTATTTTGATGTGCTGATATCATAGATAACAGTAATATCTCGCCGTTTGTGATTTGTAAAAGTACTTTGCACTTTATTGTTTATATCCATATCAATTATAGTAATTTCCATTCCTAATATTTATTTCAGATTTGATTCAGTGCAGTGCCTTTCGTTGTTCCACTGGTCGAGATCAAGTGGGAACTTTTGAGTATTAAAAAGAAGTGTGTACTGCCATAATATGAATGGACCTGTCCCATGTTAAAATATTCATCCATGATCTTCTTTGCTTATATCTTCGTACATTTTGGATTAATAATATTGACAATTTTCTATTGATGAAAACCGTACAATGACTTCTTAAATCTTTTAATTTAGTTAAAGATATCAAATATGGGTATTCATTTGTTGTCTCACTTACATTTAATCACATGGTTTTTAACACAGTTCTATATATTTGGTATCTAAGATTTTTAAGTATCTTGAAAAATAAGTAAAACAAGTTACTGATTTGCCTTTTACCTTTTATAATTCAGCTAGAGAAGTATCTTTAATGTTTATCTGAATAATTTATCAATAAACTAACCTCTAGTTGATCAACGGAAAGTTTTTCTGTGTTATCTGTTACATATCTGACAATGTCATCCAGAACAGTTGATGATGTTACCAGATCACCAGACCTTAATTCATTTTTCTCACTGGTTGTGTTTTCTAAATTCTCAAGAATAGTATTCACAACCGTGTCTACACTCTCTCCAGATAATAGTTTAGCTGACTATAATAAAAAATACCTTTCAAACATTGTACGGTAAAGATAACTTTATTCTCTTTATACTAATTTTTGATGAATGCTCGAAATTTTGATATTCATAAAAAAAAATAAAAAAAAATCATTCAATAGCTGGGAATGTTTGAAGGGTTTAATACATATATGAATATATGATATTTGTAACCATCTTTATTATCATTTGATACTTTATCAAAAACAGAATATGTCGAGACGAAAGAAGTGTGCCACTGTCTGCAAGACGCAAAATAACGGAGTTCCATGTAACTATGAAGTCTGAACCGAAACTTTGTTGTAACTTACCAGTACAAATTTATAAACAAATATTTCGCTAAAAATGTATAGGCACAACCAAAAACACGGGACAACTATTTGACCTTGCAATTACAGAAGGAAAGATATTGGTAACGCTACACGTGTTGGCTGTAAAATGGCGGGAATATTAAGAAATTAATTTGTGAGTAAGAGGAAACTTAGAGGTATACATTAAATAGACAACAATCTAATATCAAAAATTACAAAACATCATTTAGAGATCAACATAAAGCTTTCAACAATAGATCGGTATCTGTACTATATGCCACTTAATCGCACCTGCAATAAAATTTGCATAGTACATTTAAAAGATATTTTAGAATATCTACAAACGCCAAATTCCCTACAAAAAACAAAATCACATCCCAATACGATAGAGACAGCCATTGACCGAAGTAGAGAGGCGAAAGATACCAGAAGTAGAAAATAAACTGACAACGCCATGGCTAAAAAAGAAAAAGACCAACAGACAAACAGTAGTACACAAAACACAACATAGAAAGCTAAAGAGTGAGCAACACGAACCCCACCAAAAACTTAGGGTAATCCCATGTGCTCCGGAAGGGTAAGCAGATCCTGCCCCACATGTGGCACCCGTCGTGTTGCTCATGTTAGTACAAACCCGGTAATAAGTCTAATTCGGTAGGGAAAAGGGGACGGTTCTGTAGTTACGACATTTAGAACATATCCGTTATCATCTGTGAAACGGATATTCCATAACGGTCAACCAACTCGTGATGGCGTCCGTAAAACTTACGAAGGGATGATTTCAACTTCACCACTTGGAACTCTTGGTTTAATAGCTTCCTTGTGAGCAGCAACCCTCGATCAAGGAAATCATGATTGGAAATACATTGTACCATCCCTTGAACATCGTATCAACTGGGAGATATATACTCCGTATGCAGGCGCTGCTGGAAAGTTGCTACATAGAAATGGAAAGTTCAAAATTGGGAAGCTGCAATCATTTCGTTTATCGTAAAGTTTTGTTTCAACCGACCCTCATTGTCAATTTCTAGATGTAAATAGATATAAGAAGATGTGGTATGAGTGCCAAAGAGACAACTCTCCATCCAAGTCAAAATTTATAAAAGTAAACCATTATAGGTCAAAGTACGGTCTTCAACACGGAGCCTTGGCTCACACCGAACAGCAAGCTATAAAGGGCCCGAAAAAATACCAGTTTTAGTCAATATATGAGGCAGACTTAACTGTATCTGTTGTATCCTTTATCTCAAGTTCGATGGGATAAATGCGTTCAACATAGTCACCAAATTTTGAATTATTTAGTGATAGAACATCATCTCTATAGCGGAAAGTAAAGTAAAGTAAAGCTGAATTTAGTCAGTTTCATGAACATTTTCAATTGATTCTTAAGAACTCAAATATCAATCTTTTAATCTCATTAAGTAGACCAATACATACAGAACCATGCAAAACATACAATAAAAAGTAGAAAAACAAAAGCTCTCAACTCTTACCTTAAAATTGTTATCAAAAAAGTCCAAAAAACAAATCTCTTCGAAGAATATCAGAAGTAAATGAAAACTAACTCTTAATATCAAATCAGCTGATTTAAAATCAGACATCGTGCCGTTCTATAATCAATGCCTGTATTTCATGGCGGAACGTCACGAACAGTGTATGAAACTACGGTACATTTAACATTGTGAAAAATTATTTTTGTACATTTCGTTTTCATTTGGAATGTAAAAAAAAAACTTCATCTCAAATGATCGGTATTGGTACGAGGTTTACTCATATATGTTTCCGCATATAATTGATAGACTTTTTAATTGCAGAATGTTGTGACAAAAGCTATCACATAATATCCGTCAAATCCACTAAAAGCGATGGATCATCGATCATCGTACAGTTTTGGATGAATAATTAATATGTAACCGACCATTTACTGATATGTCTATATATCGTCATATAAACACTATAGTAATTACTGTAATTATATATAAGGTATAAACAACTATAAACTCGGACCTGGTCTAACAGAACATACATGAAAGTAGGATATATTTTATAACAAAAAGGTTCCTTTGCATACTAGTAAGTAAAATATTGGTGTAATATTGATATGCAATGAAAGCTAAAGAATTTGAATTGGGATTACTGTAGAACACTCGATGAATGATCCCTATACATAATTAAATGAAATATGAAATTAAAATAGGAGGGCATATTTGCCCTGTTGTTCGAATCAGAGGTAACTGTTTTTGTAGTACCAAACTAACGTTAACATGTGCGTTCTAATAAGCAAATTAAAGGAATGCTGAACTTTTCAGCACAAGTAAGGGTAAGGTATAGTTTTGATATGAAATGAATGCCACTTTATTTGAACTTAATACAAAAAAGCTATGAATGCTTGAAACTGCAGAATTTAACATAGAAGGCAATGGGGCTATGAATTAATAGTTTTATTCCTAAAACATCTTCCCTAACTATAAAATGTTAAACCAATAAGTGAACATACGATGGTCTAAAAGAGGGACGAAAGATACCAGAGGGACAGTCAAACTCATAGATTGAAAACAAACTGACAACTGCATGGCCAAAAATAAAAAGACAAACAGACAGATAATAGTACAGATGACACAACATAGAAAACTAAAGACTAAGCAACACGAACCATACCAAAAACTGGGGGTGATCTCAGGTGCTCCGGAAGGGTAAGCAGATCCTGCTCCACATGTGGCACCCGTCTAAAATATACGTAATTGGAGACTTGTATGCTTATTTTCTGCAGGCAAGCATTGTCATTGTAGAATACTTTTTTTTTTACCAAACACCAGAAATATATTTGTCCATTTGAATACCATAATAAAACGATATGGTGTACTACATTTATACCTGTCACAAGTTGGGAACCAAGTCATTGCCTATCTGTAAAAACATATTTCCGTTTCGTTCTTCAGTGCAATGGATCATGATGCGGACGTTTGTCTTTATTTTCAGTATATTCACATCTTGTCTATACCCTGGACAAGTTATAGCTTTACATATAGTATATTCACTTGATCGTTGTTTTTCTACATGACTATGCACACGCTTGTGACAATATTGGAAATTATAAACAATTGATTCAACCTGAAAACATTGTTTACCTGTGCATGGATATTTTGTATTGCTTTACGCGTACACAGGCTGTAATCTGGTTCCATCCACTTTCCACCATTGCTGCAGTATCTAGAAACACTACCCGTGTAGTAACCATTGCAAGGTAAAGTAAGCAGGTTTTTTTCTGCTGTTATACCCCATTTAGTATTAAATTTATCTATATTTTCTCCACAAAGAATTGTTGAATCTGCAATAAGATAGTCCATAATAAAATGCAAGACTTGTTCTCAAACATTCCGTTATATTACTAAAAGGCAGTAGGAATAAACAAAATAATGATACAACACTCATTTTCATCCTGTTATTCACTAAATGTATTTAAATTAGAATTGAAGAGAAGATTCAAGTCAGACGCAAAACATAACTTACAATGTCTTTTATGGTTTTTTAAATCTTTTTTGGTGGTGTATTTTTCATTATTTAGATAATCTATTATTCTCTGTTAACAGAGACAGAAAAGACAAACGAGACAATCTAAACTCATAGGTGGAAGATGGAACTACAAAAATGGCAAAACATAATTACTTAAAACCATGTTTGAAGCAAGATCAATTTTTGAAATTAACGTCAACCACCGATCGCATGATTGTGACTACGGAATATAAATACATAGACAAAAATGGATTCGAAGAAGCATGAACTTTCAATGTATGCTAGATTCCATATTATAGATGAAAATATTAGGACAATCCTCGTGTATCTGTATATGAATGTTTATGTTTCTTTGCACAATTCTTAAACGAAATCGGGTTTCAAGTGGCTCTTCTAGTTTCAAAGGTTTAACTTACATTTGTTTTAGCAACTATACATGCTGAGCACATGTGCATACAATACTGGTATAAATGAGATCGGAATTATTCTTTGCAAACATTGTTTACATCCATTTTATTTGCCCTTTTGGGGAAAGTTGTCTCATTGGAAATTAAACCCTATCTCGCTAACTTGTTACTGCAATGCTCTTTAACTTTATATTTCTCCTATTTCATCAAATATAAGGAACTAGCTGCAGAATTTTGACACTAACCTTCAGTGACTGTCAGAGTGTGTTTAGAATTAGCATTACTACCACTACCACTTGTTCCAGCTGTATTCAGGGCAAAGCAAGTGTAAACTCCAGTTTTATTCAACGCAATATTCCTAATCGTCAAGTGAGGGTTTGTACCAGAATTTTCTACAGTATAGTGTTCACTGTTTGTTCCTTTGCTTATAGTTTCTACACTGCCAATTACCGGGTGGAATGTCCAGTACCAATCAAAAGCTCCTGGTGTAGCAGTAACATTACACTGAATCTGAAAACTAGCAGCGTCAACCATTGCTGCATATTGATTTGGTTCAACAAATGTAATAGGTGCACCTTAAAGATATCAATGATACTAGTTAGATGATAATACTTGCTTCTATTTTCTTTTACATTTGTAATTTGAATTTCTACTTTACGTTTTTAAAATTTTTAAATTTCACATTCTACTCTCTCATCAATTTTTTAGGTCTCTAACCCCCCCCCCCCCCCCCCCCACAAAAAAAAAGATACAAATCAAGGAAAAAAAACATAAACAGAGGGAAATGCATGCACTCAATAAGTCGCATGACCAGAACGTACGTACATAAAAATTAAGAGTTCCAATATTGTATATAGACTCAGAATTAAACCAATCACATTTCTAAATTTGGTGTTTCGAGCGCACATTTTGTAATCTGAGTTTTAAGTAAAGTTGAAGGAACGAAATATCATATGAGTAGACAGGATAAGCGTCCACTGCAATTATTGCATCAACCGCCAGGCGAATCCACACTCGTTTCAAATGTCACAATAGGGAATAGGAAACAATCCGTAAATCCACAGATCATCCGACGTTTTTGGTATCATAAAAATTTCAAGATCGCCAAAACATGGCATTAGTGAGTAGAGACATATGGAGGTCCTGCTCTCATTTTACAGTGATAGTGTTTATATAGTCCGTAAATTTAGTTAGAGATTCTTGCAATTACGTAATTGGTGGATAATTATCTCATTTGCGATCATCAACATCATACCAATTCTTCTTAATTTTTTTATTTCGTATCGGTCAACCAATTCGTGACGATGAGTGTAAAAGTTATTTACTGCTAATTTTTTTCAAACAGTTGGAGCAGTTTTGTTTCAAAAGCGCGTAACACATTATTGAGATACATGTATCAGCGCCATAAGACGAGGCAGAGGTTATGTACTTGCTGCAGAATGGGATGATGTACATTGGAACGGTTGAAATTATAACGTATGTCATAAATGCTAGTTTGAAGTCGTTTATCTATGTCAAGATCAAGTTATGAAGCAGATCTTCTTGTTTCGGTAGTATCCATAATCTTGATTTCAACGGGATTTATGAGATGCAATCACTCACTTACAGCAAGTTAGATGTAAAGTAAACAATTTCTATACGAAGGAACCCTACAACACAAGGTTAATCTTAAATCAACATTATACAAGAACAAGCCAAAATCATTTAAAGATTTTATTTGATTTGATTTTTGGTGTTTTAACGCCACTTTTAAGCACCGCTTTTGGGCTATTTCGTTGAGGCCAGTCTTTATTGGTGGAGGAAGCCGGAGTGCCCGGAGAAAACCACCGACCTTCGATAGGAAAACTGACAATCCTAGTCAATTAAGATTGGAGTCGAGTGCACTCGCACGAGAGGGGTTTGAACTCACAGTCTCAGTGTTGAATGGCTAGTGATTACAGTAGTAACTACTTAGACCACTCGGCCACCGAGGCCCCTGTTAAAGATTTGACAAAGCTTGCAAAACACGGATATATGATTAATTAAGTCCAAGAATTTCAATGTTGTCAATAGTAAATCCAACGAAATAAAATGTATACTAGATATGTAACTAATTGTTTTATTTAGACTTGGAGAAATATGCAAGGACAATGGGAGAATATCAGTTTAGGTGGTGTAGTGAAATCTACCAGCCACAGCCTTCAAGTACGGTTACATAAACGATATAAGCGTACTTACTTATGTAAATCAAAGTTGAACCAGGATAACTAGATGATGATCCAACAGCATTTGTTGCTCTGCAGACATAATGACCAGAATCACCTGGTTGAAAATTGAGTATAGTCAAATAAGGTTCCTGTGTTGTACCAACTGTATATTTGTTACTGTTTGTTGTACTTAGTACTGCATGTTGAATGCTACCAGCTGGTGTGAACAGCCAGGTAATCCATGTTGATGTTGGTGTTCCAGTCACATTACAGGAAATATTTTGACTGTGTTCGTGGACAACATTTGAAGTTCGAGGAGTTACAGAAACATATAAATACCCTATGAAAGAAAGGTACGTTGTTAAAACTGACACTGAAACCATTAATTCTGTTTTAGAAAGGTCGTGTTATCCATCATTGAGAATATTTATAACATTTTAACATGTATTTAACATAGATTGTAAGGTGCAATAAAAAAAAAACAGTTTTATTTCTTCGTTTACTATTTTGACCTGAGTTAAATAGATTTGTTTCGGGACAGGTCGATTAGAATGTTCCGAATGAGCCCGCGAGTGGTGTGTCACTAAAATATTTGAATTTTGGCAAATCATTGGAAACATTTTTGCAAATCTTTAGAAGTATTATGTTCGTCTTTGAAAATTACAGCAACATTTGGTTCATTATAACCTATATTTCGTTATTTTCTGCTTGACTATTTCCAATCATATTTTCGCAATAAATACATGCTGCTTCAGTACTACAATCACTTGGATCTACATATGTTTCTCATGGCCTTTAGGTAAATATTGTGTGTAGGTATCGATGTCACTTTTAGATATGAGTGGCAATCTTCTATTAACTAATGTGTTTTAAGTCCAGATTCCTCACAAACAGGTAGGTCATGTCTCCTTATATGGTCCTGTTGGGTTTAGCTTATTTTTTTACATCAGTTGGATTCTACCTTGAATTCATTGGGAGATCACACACAAATAGTTGATGTCTATGATGTAGGTCCATAAATCTTCGACTTTATATCAAATGATTCCCAATTTCTGTCTTCAGCGGAATATTTCTATAAAGCAACAATAATTGGGTCACGTTGGACGATACCCAAGGCAATCATGAAATGATCTTAGAAATAAAGGTCATGTATATTCTTCATATGAAACATGGTCAGCTGTATGCAGATTTATTTGAAGGACATGACTATGTACATAAAGACATTGAGATGTGAATATAGAAAGTACTACAACCGTCCAACTGAACTAAATGGAGGTGAATTGAACAATTATGACACCAAAATCACAATAAGCATGTCATGACATTCCCCTCAGATAGTATAAGTACTAACCTCCAGTAATTGTTACATTTCCAGTGTTACTGTTTCCTGTTCCTAGAACATTTGTAGCATGGCAAGTGTATGTTCCAGTATCATTTATCGTTGCAAAACTAATCGTTAATGAAGGTGTTGAAGGAGTACTACCTTGGTACCCTACGTCTCTATTGTAAATTATACGTAGCTGATTATTAGAATTTCTCTGCCAGTAGACTTCATTAACTCCAGCACTATCAGAGACGATATTACAATAAATTATTACTTGATCTCCAATTGCTGCAGTATAGGTAGTAGGAGAAATTTCGACTTGAGGCAAACCTAGGAAAACAAGGTGATAGATAAAAAAATCAACTGATGTCATTTGCACAGCTATCACAAATATATCTGTACTTAAACATGTTGAAATGACAGATTTTGCAATTCTATTTAACTATGTATACATTGTGCAGAAAAAAATGAACTAGTTTACAATGTATGCATTAGGTACACAAAATTTTGTGTAAAATAATACTCGTGACAAGTTTGTGAACATTATTACATTAATGTTTACCTAACGTTTTTTTTTGTTTGCCCTCAAATTAAAAATATATAAAAAAAAGTTTTTCTTTCAAAGATATGAAGATGAGTAAAAAAACTATCTAATTCTTGAAAATTTCATAAAGTAAATTGCATATGTGTAAGAATAGAAAGAAGATATCAGTCAAGTGGAATAAAAAAAAAACTCTAATAAAAACAGACAACATCATCAAGAAACAGGATGCACTACACTCAAAACTAAACACGTGACCAATCGAAAACCGGGAGTACCTCCTGTACACCGGAAGAGTTAGTCGTTCCTGGTAGACTAGTGACACCTCCTAGTGTAAACTCTAACTGAAATCCATCTGCTGTTTCAAGAGAAATACACTTAAAATGGACACAGTGGTTATCATTACAAACCGCTTGACATCGTGCGACATTTACTTATTTTGTTGAGGTTTGTGATGTTTGAACGATGTTAGCGCATACGGATTTCGCACGATTGTATTTGAATCTCAAATAGAACAATATATGCAAGCCTGATTTTGTTAATATGGTGCCAAAGCAACTGTTCTCAAACTCGATATGAAATGTTCAATAGTCATCAATCGATTAAGCGAAAAAAACGAATCCGGGTCACAAACCAAAACCGAGGGAAGATAATGAAAACAATTGTAATGAGGGAATAACTAACGATTTCTTTCTTTTAATCGCTAATTTATTGAAAAATGCATCATACAGTTTCTGATAGATGATTGGATCCATTCACTTGTATAGAGTAGAACTTATTCTGTATTATAAGTACTTCAAATGCTGCAAGCATATATTATTGCGACTGTTAAACGATAATCAAATATGCGAGAGTAATCAATAAGGTTTCTCGGACAAATAAAGCTATTAAGATTTAAAATGGAAGTTTTAATTTTTGCATAATCCCAGATTACGCAAAATAAAAGTAAAGATTGCAAAAATGTGAGTATCTTTGTATACAGTAGTTATAGAATGTTAAAAAATGTTTCTCTTCAACCGTTATATTATTTTAGTGTTTTCAAATTTAAGCCTGTCAATTTGTATGGTGAGCCAAATCCATTCTTTAACAAAGATTTAGAATAAAGAAAATAACTGTTTAAACTGTTACTTGTCTAAAGATTGATGACAATGATTTTAACAAATAAACATGAAAGCGAAACTGCTTGGTTACCAATTTAGTTATTCAGAATAGTTATTGAATTTTTAGTAACAAAATTGCAGAAAGGAAATAAAAAAAGCTAGTTTTACTTTGACTTACATATGTTTTAATAAGTCAGTACGATAATCATGACTTTAATTAAAGCTAAGTTAATAATGCTATCGTATCACGTGTTGACGGTTCATACAAATCTACTGACCGAATTTATTTGTTTTCCTTGTGACGTTTGCTAATCATTGACCGATAACATTTTAGTCTTTTTACAGATTTGGAACACATATTACAATAATTGTTATTGGTCAACCTTACAAACTAGCCAACTTAAATGATCCATTTTTTCTCAGGATAAATAAGCTGTAAAATATTCAAATAAAAACACTCACGAGCAACTGATATTAGTCTGCAAACTGTCTGTGGAGTACTGCCTATCGTGGTTGTATGTGTAACATCACAGCAAATGGTATCTCCGTTGTTAACAATTACTGGGATCCAGATCAGCGTACCAGTCACATCATAGGATTTTTGATCTATTACACTGGTAGATGAAAACTCAGATGTAAATTGAGTACTTTTATTTTGATTTCTCATGGTCATTTTACCAGCTGGATAACCATTGACCGACATACATGTCCATATGCCTTGTTGTCCTGGTGTCAAAGTGGTCGGTCCAGTCAAAGTTGGGGCTTGTGGTGAAACTATTGAGTATATGTAATTGATGAAGAACCAATAAAAAAACGATTGCATATTGTATTTGCCAGATAAAAAAGATTTTCAGAAGTTCTGTTGTCCTTTTTGGAAATTTACTTAAAATTTTTAAATTAGAGTGTATTTTCATTGTTTTCAATATATACTTTTGCTAGAAACCCATGCAAAAAAATAATCTGACCAGAATTGCCAAAAATTTGAATGAGAGTGATATTATTCTTTTCCCTTGTAAATGTTTCTCCTATTTCTAAATATTTTCAGTACTGTGGATTCATTATTATTCGTTGGATACCAATTTTCGTGGTTTTCGTGGGTACAGGTGAACCACGAATTCAAATGTTCAACGATTTACACTTTTTCTATAGACTTTGTATGCAGAAATTGGCAAAACCACGAAATCAAATACCCACGAAAATGCAAGATTTCCTGAATCCACGAAAATTGATACCCACGAAAATAAATGAATCCACAGTATATAGTTCAGTTATTGCACATGGTAGTGGTTTATTTTTGTCATAAGCTACCTATCTTGAAGTATTACTTGTATTAAGTAAAAAGAATTACTTCGTTCTAATAGCCACAAAACCAGCTAATGGAACGGCATCGTAAACAGATGTCAATAACAACGAATGCTAGAGATTTAACATAGCACGTTATTACATCAACACCAGGAAATATATACATTGGTATTAACTTATACAGTAAAAAGAAATGCGTCTCTTATAGTTCAATCACCAATCATATGTTATTATTGGCATTAAAATCTAAGTAATCAAGATCTGTCAAGTGAAAAGCTCATCAAAACAATATTTTGCAGTTGTTATACTTTTAAGACTAGAAAATACTAGCTCCAAACTCGAAAATTAAAAAACTGAACGAAAACATAAATCTTTCACCGAATAGTTGATTTTTTTTTCAAAAAGACACTTAGTTCAGCAATGTAATGCACCCACATAATACGACTTTAATATTTATCATTCGAAAGCTTATTATCTCTATTTTCTGTAGACAAATAAAATGATGCAATTTCTGTTAAGTCAAGGTCAAAGGTCAAGAATGTACATTCCTATATTTTGTTAGAATTCAACCGAGGGCCATACATATGTATTTTGACATATACAAACAGTTTTTTCAATCATTCTGTGTATATATATCTTTGACCCATTTGTCATATCTACATAATGCCACATGTTCTTGGAACTAGGGGAAAACTATTGTACAACAGAAGTATGATCATGGAATATATGAATTCAGAATTTTACTGTTAACAACTTGTGGGGCAACATCAGTATGTTGTTATTAATACAAAAGCATCTATTATATGGCAAAAATTTAAAAAAAAATCCTTGCTACTCATATAAGAATCCACCTTTCATCTTGGTATGTATAATAGCTTATAGATATGAACAGCCATTTTAAACTGAGAATTGACAGGTCAATTAACATATGCACACAAAAAGATTTGATCTGTCAAGCTTTATGTCGTGAACTGTGTCAAAACTTAATCGGTCTATTATAATCTCTTTATAGGTGTTATTTATGAATTAACTTTCAGTGAGTTTCAAAAACTTTTAAAAGAAAACATAATCACCGCATAATAAGATCTTTGTTAAGTCAACATGTTTTACTACTTGAAGGTGTTAGTTCGCTTGATTTATTTATTTTCTTAATGTTCTATAACTCCGAATGAATGTTAAGCACACATTTGTGTTGTTGTATAAGGTAGAACATTTTAACATGAACTGAACAAAAGGCATAGGATTATTTTTTTTTAAACTTGAAAACGTGTGTTTCTAATCTGAAATCTTTGTGAGAGCTTATATAATTCACCGAAGGTATCACTACAAATCATTTAGATGAAAATAAAAGGAAATAATTGTTAAGAAGGAGAATTAAAATTTTCATAGGAGTAAAAAAAATATTTCGTTTTCAATTGAATGTGATATAATACTTTTACTTTGCTATTCAAAATATATTTTTTTTTTTAAATTTTAAATTTTTTAAAAGACTGCAAACAAAGTGTATACATTGACCGAATTGTATGTCGATAGATTGAATGATTCATGATAGTGGTAGATAAGAAAGTAGACTTTTACACTGATCGTGAATATAAATATGAGTGGATGAATCTAAAAAAATACTATTCACATGCATGTGCTAGTCTTCAGTGAGGAACCGTGTAAGTGATTTGTATAGGTCAAATCTAAAGTGATGTGTCATGTATGTTATTCACTAAATCTGTTTGGGTATTCATTTATATAAACTTATTTTTTATCACCTATACAATGTCATGAATTTTGTCATGCATGTGGTCCTGATGGTTAGTCTCGTAATCAACTATATGAATAAATAGAAATTAATCAAATAATTGCAAATTGTTGACAAATCTGTGTTATTCCAATGATCACATATTTAAAAAAGGCAAATAAACAAGAATTTTCTGTTGCATAACTTCCAGAATGTTCAGGATACTTTAAAACGGGGAATTTTTTACGCCGTCTTTATTTCGCGATTTACCAACTGAATCTTAATTTGTGCCGTTTTAAAATCGCGACTTGTAGGAGGCCTGTACAAAATTTAATTAATGATTTTAAAACGGCACAGTTATACATGTATCGTAAATCAAGTGGTGAAAATCGATCGAATAACCTTTTTGTCTTAACAAAGTGAACAGTTTTCGTCGGTTCATTAATGTACATGTAGACTTCAAGTTATTTGTGAATTGACTTATATTAAGTAAAAGTAATCAGCTACACTGATGTTTACTTGTAAAAACACATATAATATCAACATAAAAACATGCGTTTAAATTAGTTGAATCAAATTTGAAGCTGCAAGGATTACGGCTAATTATTTCAGAACACAGTTTGGTTTCATTGTACTTTGCACTTACACCTAATCGCGATAAGTTTTGTCATCATGGTCATAGTTTGTTATAAATCTGAACATGCTAGATGGCATGCAGCAAAATAGATAAAATCATGCTCAATGAAAAAGAATAAACTGGTTTTTCACTTATCGAGGTTTAATCCTTTTTTCTAGGCTATTCTACTTACTAAAATGCTTACAGCAGGCTGTAATCTTGTGGTAAAACCGTTTTTATGTTTTCGAAGATTGCATAATTAAAATGAAAATATATAATTTAAAAAGACATGCAGTTCAAAATTCAAAACTGTTATTCGCATAGACATTCTCGTACTAAAGATATACATGTCCTTTTTGATCACTTACAAATGAATTTTGCTAAATTCAAAGTAAGATGACTTTATACTGGAATACTTTTGTGTTTACTCAAGAGGAAGTTTGGAAATCACGAGTAACAGACTGCTTGACTAAAAACTAATTTTAGGACATTTCGTTTAGGTCCTTTTTGGTTTATAACTCTTCAACGATTTCGGTCCTTATACATCCTTGGCTTTCAAATATTTGGCTTTGAGTATTCCTGAAGAAGGGACATCCAGAAAAGCGCTTCAAACGCATGAAATTTATAACGTGCTGTTTTCATTTTTCACAGCACTGAGTCGATAACTGTGCTGTTTGACTATCAGTCCCCGAGGGTATCATCAGGTCAGTAGTCAGTACTTCGGTACTGACATAATTTGTAACAAACTATCTAAAATTGTCTGTTTATAAATTTTGAAATTATACAGAAACTAAGGTGTCAGCTACCGTAGGCAAAGTTGGCCTCAGATGGATTATGCAATTTTATTTAGGTCGTTTTTGGTTTAAAGCTCTTCAACGTTTTCGGTCCTTAATACATCCTTGGCTTTTAAATATTCGGTTTTGAGCGTTCCTGTTGAAGGTAAATCCAGAATAGCACTTCGGACGCATGAAAAAAAAATAACGTGTTGTTTTCATTTTTTATCTTCCCGTAAATCTTTTTATCTAAGAGTTAAACTTACAGTCAACCTCAACGTATCTAGTAGTAGAAAGTGGGTTTTCTAGTACGCCATTATCTGCCTGGCACTCCAACACCTCTAAATGATAATCTAAAGTAGCAGTAAACGTTAAAGATGTTGTCACTGCTGTACCAGAAACCGTTGTTGAAGTACCAGTTGTTATTTCCGTGTCGTCTTTGAACCATTTCACAGTCGGTGTAGGATTACCTCTAGAAGAGTTACAATGGAATGTTATCTGTGAATTCAGTACTATGATTTGAGGTCCTGTTATGACTGGTGATCCAGGAGGAATACTCTGAGATGAAGCTATAAATATACTCAGTATCATTAATATAAAGTGAATGTTAAGTGTAGTAAATAAGAAAATATACCGACATTCAATAAATAAGGTTATGAATGAAATAAATAACACATTTATGCGAAGAACAGAGCATTTGTGTAATGTCTAATCCGATGTTGTTTGGGATATTGTCTTGGGTAATTGATCATGAATATTGATAAGTTTGATGCGCACGCATTTCTTGCTTACCGTGAAGCACTTGACAATTTTGCTCAAAAGATAATTCAATTAATTTTGATTTTGGTAATTTTATAATATCGACAATTATTGCGTGATTAGCGTACCATGGTTCTGAACATAGTGGTTCACAAGTACTCAATAATCTTATCGATTTGGATCGATTGCATTGGAAATTGTTGAGTTATGTGTATAAAGCTGATCGTTTGGTACAAAATGTCGTAGGTCATGCTGACCAAAGATTCATTTAGGGAATATATCGTTTTTGATGCATTGACATTTCGTCTTGCAGAATATTGCATTCAATGAAATTGACTACAAACTTCTACTTTTGGTATTTGGATGTTATGAAGACTTGTTTGAATTTTTACAAAACCTCTGGACATGAGCCAGTATTGATTATCTAATAGCACTATTTATACAACACTGGAATTACCATATTCACTTTCTCAAAAATACTTCAGAGGGCACAGCTATCGAAATCGGAAAACAGTGGAAAGGAAAGAAAATTACTTGATTCTAACTTCTAACAGTATATATTAAGGTAAATCATCAGATTTATATAAGA